ACCCACCCCTTCTCACCCGGTTCCATGGGCTCCATCTCCAGGAGCCCAAGACATGGTGTGTGAGGGGTGAGGTGGCAGGGAGCTCAAGGGCACAATCTCTGAACAGCCTCATTATTGCTTGTGTTGCAGGGCTGGGGTGGGGAATTGCAGGCAAACACACTGAATGCGAAGAGAGACTTTCCCTGTATGTTAACAGATTAGGTGTTAGGCCCCACATTTTATCTCCCGAAAGGCAGATCCTTGTAACTTTTCATTACAGTGGGAACAGCAGGAAGCTTGCTGCATACTCCCTCAGCTCCAGCATCTGTCCTGCATACTCCTCCAGCTCCTGCACAAATCCACAGGCGAAAACAGACAAGGCAAGACATGTTTAAGGAGCAAATGGAGTGGAAGAATATGTTCCTGGAGGAGGAGAAGAGAATGTGCAGGACAACAGGAGGGGAGCGTGCAGGGAACTGCAAGCGAAACACCAGGACAATGTCTTTTTGTCCCTGATGGTTGTGATGGAGTGCATGGTGGCATGCCTGGAGAGGTTCCCCCCACCCACCCCTTCTCACCCGGTTCCATGGGCTCCATCTCCAGGAGCCCAAGACATGGTGTGTGAGGGGTGAGGTGGCAGGGAGCTCAAGGGCACAATCTCTGAACAGCCTCATTATTGCTTGTGTTGCAGGGCTGGGGTGGGGAATTGCAGGCAAACACACTGAATGCAGGGGCACCTCGTTGAGAGCAATGCGCATGACTCAAAACTGACAGTTTGTAATATTTTCTTTCAAAGCCTCTCTGATTTGCAGTGCCCCATGCTGTGCTCTCCTTAGCATCCTGGTGTCTGGCTGCTCAAAATCTCTGGCTACACGCTCTGCCCAGACCCCCACCCTGCCAGATAACTTTTCCCCAAGCTTGCTGCATACTCCCTCAGCTCCAGCATCTGTCCTGCATACTCCTCCAGCTCCTGCACAAATCCACAGGCGAAAACAGACAAGGCAAGACATGTTTAAGGAGCAAATGGAGTGGAAGAATATGTTCCTGGAGGAGGAGAAGAGAATGTGCAGGACAACAGGAGGGGAGCGTGCAGGGAACTGCAAGCGAAACACCAGGACAATGTCTTTTTGTCCCTGATGGTTGTGATGGAGTGCATGGTGGCATGCCTGGAGAGGTTCCCCCCACCCACCCCTTCTCACCCGGTTCCATGGGCTCCATCTCCAGGAGCCCAAGACATGGTGTGTGAGGGGTGAGGTGGCAGGGAGCTCAAGGGCACAATCTCTGAACAGCCTCATTATTGCTTGTGTTGCAGGGCTGGGGTGGGGAATTGCAGGCAAACACACTGAATGCAGGGGCACCTCGTTGAGAGCAATGCGCATGACTCAAAACTGACAGTTTGTAATATTTTCTTTCAAAGCCTCTCTGATTTGCAGTGCCCCATGCTGTGCTCTCCTTAGCATCCTGGTGTCTGGCTGCTCAAAATCTCTGGCTACACGCTCTGCCCAGACCCCCACCCTGCCAGATAACTTTTCCCCTTGATCTCACAAATATTATGAAGCACACAGCAGGCTGCCACCACAAAGGGAATATTGGGTTCACTGACGTCTAACCTAGTCAGTAGATTCCTAAACCTTCCCTTTAAACACCCAAAAGCACATTCAACCACCATTCTGCACTTGCTCAGCCTGTAGTCGAACACTCCTTACTGGGGTCCAGGCTGCCCAGTTCCTGGAGGAGGAGAAGAGAATGTGCAGGACAACAGGAGGGGAGCGTGCAGGGAACTGCAAGCGAAACACCAGGACAATGTCTTTTTGTCCCTGATGGTTGTGATGGAGTGCATGGTGGCATGCCTGGAGAGGTTCCCCCCACCCACCCCTTCTCACCCGGTTCCATGGGCTCCATCTCCAGGAGCCCAAGACATGGTGTGTGAGGGGTGAGGTGGCAGGGAGCTCAAGGGCACAATCTCTGAACAGCCTCATTATTGCTTGTGTTGCAGGGCTGGGGTGGGGAATTGCAGGCAAACACACTGAATGCAGGGGCACCTCGTTGAGAGCAATGCGCATGACTCAAAACTGACAGTTTGTAATATTTTCTTTCAAAGCCTCTCTGATTTGCAGTGCCCCATGCTGTGCTCTCCTTAGCATCCTGGTGTCTGGCTGCTCAAAATCTCTGGCTACACGCTCTGCCCAGACCCCCACCCTGCCAGATAACTTTTCCCCTTGATCTCACAAATATTATGAAGCACACAGCAGGCTGCCACCACAAAGGGAATATTGGGTTCACTGACGTCTAACCTAGTCAGTAGATTCCTAAACCTTCCCTTTAAACACCCAAAAGCACATTCAACCACCATTCTGCACTTGCTCAGCCTGTAGTCGAACACTCCTTACTGGGGTCCAGGCTGCCCATGTACAGCTTCATGAGCCACAGGAGAGCAAGGGGGTAAGCTGGGTCACCAGAGATCACTACTGGCATTTTCACCTCTCTGATTCTAATTTTCCAATCTGGGAAAAAAGTTCCAGGGTACAGCTTTCTGAAGAGGCAGGAGTTCCTAAAGATGCTTGTATCATACACTGTTCCCAATCATCCCATTTCTGTGAAATGGCCCTTGTGATTCACCAGCACCCGCAGCGCAATTGAGAATAGGTACAGATTGCTGTGGCTACTTGGATCACAACAGCTCCCACTATAGATTGCTCAACTCCTGATTCCCAACTGACTGATAGCTGTCTGGCACTGCAAGCTTCCACAGGGCAATTGCCACAAACTCCTCCACTGACAGAGCATCTCTCATTCAGGTGCTCCTGTGCTTCAGCGTGGGGAAAAGCCATTCACAAAGTTCGATGAAAGAGGCAGTGTACATTTAAAAGTTCTGCACCCATATGAGGTCCCACCAATCTGTGGGCACCAGAACCAGCATTCTGGAGGATGGAATGCCAGTTGTTTCTCCAAGTCACTCAACTCAAGAACTTGCCTGTATGCCACGCCCAGGGCACCCCAAGATTTCTCCTCATCCTCTTCCCCGAGTGAGGTGCATACACTCAGCACATCATGGCAGACATCAACATTACAAAGCTTTAATGCACAATAGGACTCACAAGGGGGCTCACACTGCTATGGTAACCGGGATAAAAAAAAAAGTGGTACAAAAAAATTGTTTCCCATTAATCTCAAGCAAGGGGAGAGGGAGCAGACAAGCGTATTTTGGGACATTGATGACATGAACCCAGAATCACCTGCTACAGAGTTTTGGTCCCAGCATGCGCTGGGAGCATAACTCAGAATGTAGAGTGACACAGTCACTGTGGGATAGCTACCCACAGTGCACTGCTCTCCAGCAGGGAGACTGCTGTTGACCTGCTACTTTGAACTATGTTAAATTCTTGCAAACAATGGGGATGTGGACATTCAACTTTACAAAATCGTGTGGCAAGAAATCAACCTTAATAAAATTCAACCTCATCTGGTAGTGCAGACATGGCCTATGTGAATAGAATTTGCAAGAACTAGTATACTCTCAGATTTCACCCTTTATACAAAACTGAGTTAAGTAGTGACAGTGTTTTGTCTTCCTCAGCCTCAGTTAGCGGGTTTGTTAAACATAACCTATAAATGCCTCTTTTCAATCTCAGTTTAAAAATATTTAATACAAAATCAAAACGCTGTTGAGATATTTTCCAATGTTAACACTAAGGTATGCCACAACCTTTGATAGTTCAGAGTCTCATCTTTACTCTCTACACTCTGCTTTGTTACTACTGCCCTTTCTCCCTCTTCCTGAGTCCCAAAGCTTGCAACAGAAGTCTGAGCTATATCTCTGGAACATTTATTTTGAAAAACTCCACAAAGAATCCCACAGACTTTGCAATGCAACACACGTCAAATTTAAGGACAACTGATAAACCCATTCCTTTTTAATAGAGTTTCCCTGTATCATACATAATTTCTTATTTTTAAAGTTTGGATTGGGGAACTGTCAGGTGCAAAGAATCACATTTACTTCACTGGATAGGTGTGTGGGTGGTGGGATTGGCACACATGGATACAATGACAATCACCAAAGGTCCCGTGCAGCTAGAGTGAGCTCTGCTGTATACTGCAGAGACTCCTTTTGGGCCAGTACAGACTGAAGTACCTCACAGTCCTTACAAGCTATTTCTGAAGCTAAAACAGGCTGACTACCTACTGCCAAGAGCAGTCAGTGTAGTTCTACTGACTTCAGTAGACTTAACCCATTGGTGAGTCAGGCCTCCAGCACCTAATTACGCAAAGCCCGTACACCACGGGAAGTGTGGAATTAACCATTATAGTCAAGTGTCCATTTTTCTGTTCACACCCAGCCCTGTTCCTATGGAAGTCAGTGGGAATGTTGTCATTTGATCATGCTCAAGAGCAGGCCCCTTCTGGATGGATAGGCTAGACAGAGAATAGCAGCAAGGACTTAGAGCTTAGTTTATCTTCAGCCTTGACTATAAGTTTATTTTTCTATTGGAGGATGGGGGAAAGAAAAGTCTTATTTGGTCGTTTAATTTCCCTAACACTTATTTTAACAAAATGAGTAACACAGAAGGTGTGTGTGGGGGAGGGTGGGGGATGACCACCCACAATCACATATAAGCTTTCTCCTTTGGTGTTAGCCGGAAATTCTGACCCAGCTGAAGTTACTCAAATTCTTGCCATTCACTTCAAATGGATCAAGATTTCAAATACTAGATACTCTGATCAGATCATGAGTCACTATTATTCCTGTGTTGAACAGCAACTATGCAAAAGCTTCAGGGGACTGTCAGATCCTCCATGGCACCATCAGTGCTAGAACTAAGGGTGCTGCAGGATGCCCTGCCTTGAAGTGGTTTCCATTATATACAAGGCTTACAATTTGGGTCAATGATTGTTAGCACCTCCACTATACAAACTGTCCCAGTGTCCTCTGCATGGCACTAAAGAATAGTTCACAGTGATGGGTAAATATTGTCATTAGCCTTCAGTAGAGTATTAATGGGGGGAGGGAGGGAATCTACCTCTTTTTTGCTCTCCTTGTTCTGTTCAACTTCAATATCAACAGGGTTACTTCCATTTGTTTCCTCCATTTCATCCTCACTAAAAGACAAAAACATGGCATGACCATATTACTATGAGAATTTCTATTTCTTTACAAGAACGTGCTGGAAGGCAGGCATGGACAGAACATAAAGAAAAGCTGATAATAAATTTTCAAGTCAATTACATGTTAAAAATAACCACATTAGGGATCATTCATTTAAAAACTTTTACATAAATTCACCAATGGTATATATGGGCAAAATGAAATCTGTTTGCACCCAAAGGTAAAAATATATTTTTTTAAAGTCAGAACATCTCTGGCTGTTAGAATCAAAGAGAACTAGTTGGAGAATATTTCTAACTTCAAGCAAACGCAAACAAACAAGGATATAGCATTAGAGAAAACAGCTTTAATGTGCATTTCACGCAATTAATTAAAAAACTTAAATGTAACAAAAAGCCACATGCACAATTAGTTCTTCCAGGGATTTAAAAAAAAAAATAAATCACATTTAGTTCTTCCATAATCTCATTTTTAATTCCGCTCTGAGTGGGGAAAAATAAATTCTATCCATTACTAAAAAAGAATAAGCAGCATCAAATTGGGCCATACTGATGGTGGCCTTGGAACACCTAGCTCGTTTAATTTTACTGGAATTCTAATTTAGTGTTAGACTACCAGTCACATTAAGGTATACTTCCATGTATGGTTTAGAATTTGCGTAATGCATATTGCTGGCATTAATTGCCCTGTTACGATGTTCTCAGAATGCAAGGATAATCTTATTTGGGCTTTATTTTAAGAAGGACACATGCAGGTTTCACTAGTACTCTGAAATCCAATAACCTATTAAGATATTCAAGTTGTAGAAGTCAGTATTAAGTCAGCATTATATTCTTCATGGCCTGTTAAAATTCCACTCACAGTCACACACTCACCTTTTAGGATTTGGTTTTTATTTGTTTCATTATTTTAAAAATATAGACCAAGATGAAGAGTATGAACAAAATACAGGCACCTGCTCATTATTGCTGATCGACACATTTTAGCAGTCTTCCATTTATAATCGTGTGTGGAAACCTTCCTTTTCCTCTAAGCTGCGTACTTTCCTGTACAAAACGGATTCTCAAGCTAGTTTGTACCAGCAAATTCGGTCACTTCTGCATGCAGAAGACAGCATTTATAGAGTCCCATGCATGCAAATAAAAGAACAGCACAGTAGAGATAAGAGGCGGCGGGAGAGAATGCAAGTAGTCGACTACAACCCTACTTCAGAATTCACACGCTCTAACCTCAGACTCAAATAGCAGCACAACTCTTTTTCCTCCCCCACAAAGCTCAGAGATAAATCCCATAATTTTTCCTACAAATTACTCAAGTTGAGTTGAAAATCAAGCGGCCATGTTAAACCAGTCGTGTTCTTTAGCTTGCTGACTCTGGAAAGCAAACACCGTGGCTTGGTCTCCACCTGAAATTTGAGTCAATGTAGCTATGTTGGTCATGGGAGTAAGTCACATTCCTGACTGATCCTATCTTTGCCAAGTTATTCCCAGGTGTAGATACATTTAAATCAATGGAGAATACTTCCATCAATGCAGCTATTCAGGCTGCATCTACACTATCAGGTTACACCAGCATAGTAATGCTGACCTAGCAAATCTGGTTTAATTTCCATAGGGCAGACATATTCTAAGTATCTCTGATCCTGTCCAAGGCTGCGGAATTCAGAAGACACCGTCCATAGAGTTTATAGCACCTAGAAACAAGTGCCCTTCCCCCAGTAGTCTGGAACTCCAGCTGGCAGCTGGTGAAGACTGGTTGCCCAACCTAGGCTAACTAAGAGGCATCTGCCCCACACCCTTTTAAGCAGAACTGAAGCCCAACCCTGGTAAGGGCAGGTGGGGACTGGTCCACAGGACCTAAACTGTAGGATAGTGGACTGACCAGGAATCTGGGACTCGGGAGTGGGACTGATCCTGTCACAGCAAGGTGGAAAAAGCACTGTTCACAAGGACAAGAAACAGTGTAAGCATTGCCGAGCACCACTGCTATGGAGAGAGTAAAGATGAGGATGCAGAGAAGCTTTGCAGACAGACTGTCACACCTCTCCGTGTGTGAGGAGCCATGGTCCACCAAGGCCCCAACTGCCCTAGGTTCGAATGGAGTTAGCCAGGAAAAGTGAACCTCTATCTGCAGGAAGCGTCTGTGTAGCTAAATACATGAATCAGCCATATCTTCCCAAGGGGTGCATGTGTGGTGTGCATGGCAGCCATGCTGCAGACCGGAGGCTGAAGTACCGGGAACAGAGACTCTGTTAAAGCTCAGTGACTTTGGCACTCTATAGGTCCCCAGCTCACTTATACAGTACAGCACATGCACATTGAATAGAGAGGTGGGTATAGAATTCCATCAACCACAGCTGCTGTGAGCTCTCCCCTTTCTTTCCTATCACAAAACCAGTCTACTTGACCATTGCACTGGGTAGCGAGTTTGATCCTAGCGGTATTTTGATGGTGGCATCATTCTGCCTGGACAAACGTCTAGCTAAAATGAAGAGTGGGGCCTGTCAGACATTGCCATCCTTCCACTTAGTGCATGCTCCCATTCTACAGAAAGGGACATTTAGGGCTAAAATCTGCCTTCGAGTTACCACTGCAACCTCCTGTTAGAGGGAAGCTGGAGTTGCAGGTGAATCAGATGGTGGAATTTGGTCATGAACGTTTACATGGACACAGACTCCTGTTACAAAAAGAGATACCTGGAAGCGTCTGGGAAAATCCTAATTCAAGTTCTTTACAGGCTACCAGAAATTCCAGGAACTTCGTAAAAAGATCTGGGTAGCAAGACAGTCTCTCTCACTGCAAATATACCTTTCTTCCCGTTCCCTTTTTTGTTTACGAGCATGGCGGTCCATCACGCTGGTTTTAGTCCTTGTCTTTTTCCATGAGTAGTAGAATTTCACCAGACTGGCTATCGATTTGTCAGGAAGCTGAAAATAAAAAAGTTAGTCCTTTTAGAAGTCTTCACAGGCTTACATGAACAGCAGTACCTGGATTTCATATTGTATGGGCCAGTTTTTGGTACACACTACAAACAGCCAGCAGGAAAGTCATAGCCAGCAACACAGGGTAGCAATTGGCCACCTTTACTTTGGTTTCCGTCATAAGCTTCCAGAGAGGCCATTCTGCAAGCTCTTCAGAATGAAGCTGCAGAATATATCCTAGAAGTCAGCACAAAGTCTGTGTATTTTCCTATGTGCCTGAGCCAGCAATGGGACAAAAACCCAGCACAGGACTTTATCATCTAACAGGGATCCCTTCCAATACAAGAGCACTCAAGATGCAGGCCAGAAAAGGGCTCCTGAAACACAGGTAGACAAAGTCTTAAAACTGCAAACCCAGACCCACAGTAAATGTAGCATTTCTGAATTGCAGACTACTTTTAAAACATGCCTTTGATACGTGGTTAAACAGAATCTATGTGCTAAAAATCTATTCAGTTAACAATAGAGGGTTTAAAAAGGATGCAATGTTGCTTCTTTTCTTCAACTTTCGATAAGTGTGTAGCAAGCTGTAATATTTTCATTTCATTGTCCTGTATGTCTACACAACAAATCTGCCTTCTAGTAGTCAGGTAAATAAAACTCTATTAAGGCAGCTGACCCATTTGAGTTCTACAGGCTGTCCTAGAAGAGACTTGCATAACTCTCGCCTCTCACGTCACCCCTAGAGTTATTGTTGCACTCCACCCACATCACTTTAGATAAAGGCCTGATCCAAGTTCCATTAAAAATCGGGGAGCTGAAGGTGGTTTTAAGAACCAAGATTTTAAAGTTTTGGCCTTAGATACTTGTGCTTATCCGTGGCATTGAGGACAATAAATAGTTCCAAAACTGTAGATTGGGCCTACATATTGTAACTAATTTGTCTCTCCTGCCTGGAATGAGTTTCGCACCTCTGCTTTAAAGCGTGTAATTTTAATACCCGTCAGCACTCATGTACTATGCAGTTTATTTCCAGCACAAGCTTCCTCAGTACAAATTCAAGGACGAGGGTATTAGCAATGCAGTTAATTTGGCATAGGTAGGTCAGCATACTTGCACTTATTCTGTTCTACAGCCAATATTTAGAACAGGGATGGGGAACCCAAGGCCCAGAGGCCAGATACGGCCCCCAACTTGTCTGGATCCAGCTCCCCTCCCCCCCAGGCTCAGGGCTCCCCCAGCATTGGGGAGCCCATGCTTGCACTCCAGTCCCCCCCCTCCATTGTACACAAAATCTACTAGTCTGGACTCCCCTAGGCTCTGGTATTCGAGTGGAACATGGGGAGTGTCTCTCCTTTCTCAGTCAGGGGCCACGACAGTGATGGTTTTTTGTTTCTCACTTGTGTGTCCCCTGACTGATTTTTCTGTGGGTCAGAAGCCCTTGACCCAAAAAAGGTTCCACGACCCAGATTCAGAATGACGTGTCCTTTTCATGCAAATGACTGTCCGTGTGTTTGCCCAGCACACACTCAGTACCACAGTGTGCCACATGCATAGCAAAACAAAAGAACAGCCACACTGGGTCACACCAAAGGTCCATCTAGCACACCAAAGGTCCTGTCTTCCAATAGTGGCCCAAACCAGATGTCTCAGAGGGAATGAAAAGATCAAGTGATCCATCCCTGTCAACCAGTGCCAGCTTCCAACAGAAGGGTGGGGCAGAAAGGGTCTGTGGGCTGGATTCAGCCCACCAAGCCTTTTGATCCAGACTGCAGCCGCCCTGCCACTCCACCGTCCCCAGGCCAATCAAGACCTAGAGATGGGGGATCACTGAAAGTTTCCTCACATCGCCAGGGGCGTACAGAGCCTAGAAAAAACCACCAGCTATTCAAAACGGCCAGCGGTTCCTTCTAGGCACTGTGCGCCCCTGGCAGGGTGGGGATGAGAGGTAAAGACTTGACACGCTGTCCCATCCCCAACCCAATCAGGGTCTGAAGGAGGAGGAGGAGGAGGAGAAGAATGATCCTCCTTCAGGTTCTGAAGGAGGGTGGGCCATACCTAGAGGGAACAGCCTCATTCCACCTGAGTCCCTGCCCCTTCTGCCTGAGGCCCCACCCCTTTGGGACAGCCTGGTTCCACTTGCAAAATTCATCAAGTGGGCCCCCCCCTTCAAAAATTATTGCCCACCCCTGGACTACGAACACCATTCCTGTACATTCTGGCTAACAGCTACTGATGGACCTATCCTCCATGCATTTATTTAGCTCTTTTTTTTAAACCCTATTGCAGTTCGGGACTTTACAACATCCTCTGACAAGGAGTTCCACAGGTTGACTGAACTGTGGGAAGAAGTACTTCCTTTTGTTTGTTTTAAACCTGATACTTATTGCATTTAATTTGGCGAGCCCTAGTTCTTGTGTTATGGGATAGAGTAAATAACTCTTCTTTATTTACTTTTTTCACATCAGTCATGATTTTATAGACCTTTACTTGCTCAAAAAGTGCCCTGTAATTCATTATTGGAGAAACAGTATGCAAGTCTGGCATTAATGCTCGGTCATGCACGTTCACAAGAGTTACCGCCATCCACTTGAACTGCGAATTTCCTAATTTAATGCTTAACTGTGGACTCCTTTAATGTTCTACAATCGGTTTATGTAGGATATTTCCGAGGGACATTTAAAAGTAAAAAAGGGAAAACAGATGGGGGAAAAAACCCAAAAGGCTTCAGAACATGGCTAGTTTTGCATAAAAATTGGCAAGAGGCATTTATCTAGAGCCTATAATCTGGAACTATTTGGCTGGACACTACAGGGATTCTGTTCATGCACCTTAGATAGTATGCACAAGGACCTGGGGGTGGGGAACAAGGCTTATAAAGACCTCCCTACCCTCTGGAGCAGTCAGATAATTTTTTACTATTCAGCAAAGTTACCACCACATAGCCCTGCTAGGGTGACCCAATAAGCCAACCTGGGAGAAGGGAGTTGTTTTTCTGGGTGGGGGAGGAAAGAAGTTTATAATTATGTATATAAAACAAAGCCATTAATAAGAATGGACCAAAAGCCCTGTGCAAAGTATACTGCCTACACTAGTTTCCAAAAGGATCTCAATTGTTCCATCAAAAATTCACTGGAACAGCCGAAGAGATTTTCAAATGAGGGATAGTTTTCAAATTCCCATTCCAGCAGAAAAAGCTGTTTTGATCCCTTCCAAAATGGCTGATGTTGGTGTGGAGTTTTTTTGTTCTCACTGAAAACTTCCAAAACAAACTTCACTTTTAGGTAGATACCAAGCCTAGAAAATGTTAGCTCCAAAGGGTAAAGTTTCAGAAAGACGGAGTAATTAAAAATGGTATTAAATATAAATTCCTCACCTACAGCAGCACGGATGCTCCATATTATGCTGAATGTATACGTAAATACCAATGCCAATGTAAAATGCATAAAACTCCTAAAAAAACAATGCTTAAAAAAATTAAAGCTAGGGTTGCCAGATGGTTTCAACAAAAATACCGGACACACTTGACATTACATCACAATCTACATTAAATCTTATTTAGAAAATACCGAACGTTTATATTTTCTCATTTATACTTTCTCAATTTGTTTCCCGAACAGAAAGCTCAAATACTGGACTGTCCGGTTCAAAACCAGACGCCTGGCAACCGTAAGTAAAGCACTTTGGGACAAGGATTTTTTTCCTGAGGTGTGCGTATCATTCATTGCACAATGGGGTCCTAAACTCTGATTGAGACCTTTAAATAGGATTGCAACACAATAAAATGAAGAGGGGGCTCCATTAGCAACAAATCAAAAGCAATATGTCAATTCCACAGCTAGAACTTCCTCAAGATGGTAACAGAGTCAGATTCTATTTCTAGAAGATTTCCTTAGAATCCACGTCATGCAGTGTCTGTTGCTAGAGGAATGCACGGAAATAAAATAGTCCCTCCCCTACAACCAAATCGGTATCGTTTTCCTCTGTTTGACAAGGTAAGAGCCAAATTATTCCCCAACACCTAAACCTCTTCAAAACAGAAAGTTACATGATTGCCAACACTCTTGTACTGGATGAAGTCACCCAACAGTCTTTTCCAAGTCTAATTATTATGGTCCTACTTACCATCTGCTGAATTCTATGAAATGTTTTCCCATGAAAACTAAAGGCCTGTTCGAACAGCACCTTATCTTCCACTGTCCACTCATCTGGGAATGGAGTAAAGTTGGGCAGATCGGCCAAGGATTTTTCAATATTGTGTTTGTGCCAAAAGAGCATTCCAAGGGCCTGAAAGAAATATGGACATGAGAAATCTAGTTATAATGTGGGGCGGTCGCATACAGATACAGCATGCACAGGTGATAGAGCAGCACAAAAGTTACAAAGGGGCCATGACTCGGACACCAGATACATGTGTTTGAGGCTACAAAAGCTCAACCGATAACAAGAACTGGGAATCTAACCATCAACACTCTGGGCTGTGGCTCATGAGAATCCGGTCCATGTCGTGTAAGCAACAAAAAGGGAAAGCAAGTTATATTGCTGAAAGGCTGCTAGAGATTGCTGCAGGAGTAGGCCTTTGGGAGTGGAAATTGTCAAAAATCTAAAAACAGTCTTGCGGGCCAAAAGGCACTTCATCTCCTTCATTGGAACCCCCAGCCCCCAGTTTAAAAGGCCAGTTAAGTTAAACAAACTTCTCACTAACATCCTTCGTTAAACACCCTTCGCACTAATGAATGTTGCCTCTACAAGGCATTCACTCAAGTCTACCTCTGCCAGGAAGTGGATGGCTAAAGGGCATTATGACCTTCCACTCTAATCAGAGTATTACTTTTGGTACAATTAACCTCCCCAGAGTCATTTCAAAAGGGCCTGACCCTACGGTGCCAGAAATATTTAAAATAAAAATTTGCAAATTGTTTCATAACCACTGTTAAGTGAAAACGATCCCAGATCTGCTGACTAAAATATTACCTGCTTGACACATGCAAAGTTGACTCTGGTTCTGCTGCCATAATTCCCCCATCTAGTAGTTTCGCTCAGTCCATTCAGATTGACAGTGCTACCTTTGAAACTGGGGTTTCCCCATCCCACTTTGCTATGCAAAAACCAGTTCCTTTCTGGGCATAAAGTTCTCGCTCCAGTAGATTCTGCAACTATCTGACTAAATGCTTGCCTCACCCCAGAGTTCTTCCTCATGAAACTAGACTCTCCATGTTAAATATCTAGGTTTCTCCCCCTTCATTGTGATACAGAACCAGAAGAGTCTTAACATGTAATCGTTTTGAAGATGTCACGTGAATTAAAAAAATACGACTAGACAGTTGGGAGAGGAGTGCTTTGACAAGCATTATCATTTTTTAAAATATCAGACGCAGTTTCACTTCCGTTACCTCCCCAATATGGGAAGTTATATGAGCTGTACGTTGGTACAGAGAGATTGGGACTCCTCCTCTTACTCAAATGAAATACATTGCACAGAAGAGATAAATATTATTATAAGATGAGAAGAGCCCAAACACCAACCTCAGACAAAGGGCTTGGAACACAAATGTGAATTTTAAAATAAATTTTATTTAATAGAAAATTTAGGGTTTTTTAACAAACAAAAATGTCTAGAACCAAGACATTTTAAAAATAAGCTGGTTTTATATAGCTAGCAATAGCACCCATAGAAATTTACCTATTCAAAGTTCCACCCATCTATCCTTCCTACAAAAGAGCTGTACTTGTGCGTACACAACTCTCCCACAACGAATCTGTTTAGCTGTTGATACACAATCCAGCCACAAGCAAGGGAGAGAAGGAGAGCGCTAGACCAGACAAGTTGCATACAGAACAAAGAGCCAGCTGGACATGTAGCCCAGCAGACAACTGAGCTCAATGCAACAGTCCCATTCACCATTCCAGAGAAACCTCCACTTGCTTGCTACTGCTACATCAACAAGCTGGCTCCAGAGTCTCTGTGTGCAACGGAAGGCAGGATCCTCAAGGCAATTGCTACATCTGTCTCTGCTGCCCTGTGCATGGGAAGGAGCAAGCTTTGCAAGGTTATTGCCTCCTTTGATGATCCCACACTTGGGATCTTCTAGGCTGTCATCTGCTAGAGTGTCCTGAGGTGTTCCCTGTAAGCTGAGTGCTTGAGTGGCCACCCAGGAGAGATTCAGGTGCTGCCCACCTGATTAGCATAGGTTTCTACTGGTGGTGCACACCCACACATCCCTTGGTGCACACAACAAAATTTACTCTATCTGTGGATGGAAAAAAAAATTAGAAGGAAGATTGGTGTCCTGAGGACTAGAGGACTGATTCCCTGGAACGTGTGTGTACACAGTCAAATGCTTGCCACCACCACTGGCTAATAAGCTCAGAGCCAGAGGCAAAATGTATAAAGTTGGTTGTCTAGATTTGAATGGTTCCTTCCAATCTCACTTCCCCCCTTTACTCCACTCCCAAAGGATCTCATGTGCAATCACCATCTGAAAGGGGAAGATCCATGTTTATGCAACTTTTTCTAAGTCTCATTTCAAAAGGTTATTTCTAAAGCATTGGGCTAGCATCTCTATTTCCACAGAAATACACACTGTCCTTCCTGGATGGTTATTTCTAACAGTGCTTAGTTTACAAATTCTAGGACCACCAATGTCTTCGGGGTTTATGCAGTCCCACAGTGAGCTATGCAAAGGAAGAACAGTGGTAGGTTTTCTCCCTCTATTGCCTCCTCATTATGAGGAAGTAGGAATTTCCCTACTGGATCAGTCTCCCTCATCTAGTATTCAGTTTCTGATCACGGTCATTGCCAAATGCTTGAGAACCCCATTGTAGGCAGATATGGGATAATTTGCCCCTAACGGCCAAAGATCAGACATTGGCTTAAATCCTGAAGCATTAAGCTTAATATACTTTCCAAAGCTTTTGTTGATATTTGTCATCATTGTCTAGACCAGAGGTCTAGATCAGGATCTACTGGTAGATCCTGGAGCCTCTGACAGGTGACCCTGACTGGTCTGGCTACGAGGCTATCAAGTGCCAGCACTTCAGCTGCCCCTCCTTCTACTTTTTTCTGCCCTCTGCTTTGGGGTTGCTCCCTGAGAGACTCCTGGCTTGCTGTGAAGGGCAAGGGAGGGAGAAGGGGACACTGATGTCAGGATGTCCCCCCTTCCATACCCCATCTCCACAGAGGTGGGGACACAATACTACAGGGAATCTCAATCTCTGTCCGAGTCCCTCCGGCACTCAAACTCTCTCCCAGAACCTGCACTCCAACGCCCTGTTCCAGCCTACGGGATGGGGGGGACGGGGGGGAGGGGGGAGGAAGGAATGACGTGAGCAGGACTGGGCCTTGGAGAAGAGGCAGGGCAGGAGGTAGGACAAGGGCATTTGGGTTTGAGATAGACCATGATTGCACTTAAATTCAAGAAGTGGATCTTGTACTTAAAAAGGCTGGAGATCACTGGCCTAAGATGCCTGAGCAGGGCTTTGTTCACACCAACGTAACCCTCCCCCCCCGAAAGAATCCTTCCCAGGTCTATCCTGAACCCAATATATATACCTGAGGAAGCCAGGAAGAGGAATAAATGGCTGGGGATAGGACAATTTCATTTAGCAAGATAATGGGAGGCAACTGGACAGAGACCATCCGTTCATTTCACAGATCACTGTAAACCTGACAGCAAATGCTCAATTGCCACCAGCCTGGCTGATCATAGGATCAAATGACAACAAGTGAACAGTGGGACGGAACACTGAGCTTAGCAAGTGCCAGGTGGTACTGATCATTCAAGCTCATAGTTACACAGCTTAGTGAGTTACCATGCCTCAGTTCAGAGAGCCCAGGAACATACTACACACTTTGCTCCTTCCTCCTCCTCCCTCCCAGTAACCAGATGTTCCATCCCATCCCACGCACCCTTCCTGTCACAGCATTGCAGTCACAAAAAAAAAAAAAAAAGAGCCTTCCTATTCGAGGCAAATACACGTTTTCAAACTTTAGACAACTCCTGCGACATTTAAAAACTAAACACACACTTTTGTTTAGAGCTTCGGACCTGGCACCTGTTTGTAAGTTGGTTTTTTTAAAACTTTAAATGAAGTCTGATCAGTTTTCACTTTACAGCAACATTTACCTCTCAATCAAAAATCAAACAGAAGTTTGCAAACATGTGGGGGTTAGCTTTTTGAGAAAGTTATTCATGACTTCATATTGGAACCATACACTTCTCAACATTAAAGGTATTCCATGTAGTTAAAAAAAGGGGGCAGGGAGAATTACGTTTGTGGCTATCCACTACTTTAGGGGGGTTATTTTTGCTCCTAGAAATATCATGAATGCCAGTTCTGATCTTTAGCAGATGCTCCAGTAAAACCAGGGCACAGCTCCGAGCACTTGTATCATATGGTCTCTCACACCTTACCTAAGACGACAGCAGGAAGCTGAAACTAAGAGGTTTCTTCTCAAGAATGTTTAACACCTACACTTTCAATAGCCAACACAAAAATGAGGTTTTGGTCATCTGACTACCATTTCATTCACCTTTAACTCACTGCTTTTGGGAGAACAGTTTCTTTAATTCTGACATAAAAGTCCACCATTAGAGACAATACCTTAATTCTCTACACCCATGGTCACCAACCTGTCGATCGCAATCGACTGGTCGATCGCGAGGCGTTCGGGCACCCCCCACCCTCCATTTTCCCTCCACCCCTGAGAAGCCCCACTATCTACCTCTAATGTAGTGCTGGTTTCCCGCGGGATGGGCGGACGTCCTGTCTGAAGCCCGCATCACTTCCGGGGGATCCAGAAGTGCGCGGGCTGCTCACTTCCTACAGCTCTGTTGCGTGCTGGGGGAGGAGGCATCAGCCCTGGGGGAGGAGCGTGGCAGCTTCCCTGCGCTGCCGGTGCCTTCCCTGTGCCACTGGTGCCAGAGGGGTGAGTCGAGCGCAGGGGGTTCCCTCTGCTGCGAGAGCGGGGATCGGCCCCGGGGTTTGGC